ATGCTAGCGAGGCCACTGCAGCCATGAGTCGGCGGTGCTGGCGGACGCTGCAGTGATCGAATATGGAAGGAAGATTGACGGCATGATCGGCGCCGGCGGTGCGAGTCGGCGCAAGTAGGATTGATGCCGTTGAAAGTAAGGTCGGAGCGGGTAGGCATGTCACTGCTGGGTGTCGATCGATACAGGCATCGAAGTCATTGAGCTATGCTGTGGAAGGTGGTGCACTATGATTGCTGTCTGCGGCGATTGCTCTGGAGCCGCCAGCGCTGGCGCGGTCGCGCCGTTGGGAGCTGACTCGTCGACGTGGACGATGTCGTCGTTACTGTCAGCGGTCGCGGGCAGCCGAGCTGGTAGCGCGAAGCCGGTGGATCTCACTCGTCGGCGCCGCTGCGTTTGGGCGCATGGCCGCGGCGCCGAGCGGGCGCAGGCATGGGCGCGGGGCTGGTCGTGAAACTTGGCGCCGCGCATCCGTGGACGGTGCTACGCGGGCGCAGTGCACGTCGAGACTCTGGCGATGCTCTGGCGGACTAGCCATAGACCTGACCAAGAAGCCGCATCATGGCCTAGACGTCAGGCCATCGGCCGCCAGCTGGGCTGCATCTGCGCTGCGCCCAGCGGCGCGCGCAAGACGGGGCACGGGTCCGAGGGCAGGTACCCCTACAGCCCGCGCGAGGCGCAGGCGCGGAGCACTGCGCCAGGGTCTGCGCTAGGTGCTCGGCGAGGGACCTGCAGATGTCAGTAAGTATATTGCATGTACCTTGGTTCGGTCGCAGGGCTGCTGGGTCGCGAAAGAGGCATCGGCATTTGCTTAGGTTGCGCCTTGACGATATCTCCGTGACCAATGCTAGACTGCTTAAAGCCAGTATTATTACCAGTGCATTGGTCGGCTTGCCAAATGTGAGATGACCAAGGTCGATGGCCAGCGACGACGGCGCACATGTGCGATGCTGGGGCATGTGCCAAACGCTGGGCGCGCTAGAACGCTACCTTGGTAGGTTCGTGAACAGAACAGCTGGTGTCTGAGTGTACCTGGCTATGCGTTGTAGCATGATGATGCTTTGAACGCGCCGGTTGGATACCCTTGTGCGCATGGGTTGCTGGGTCGGCTGATTGGGCACGCCCAAGAAGTCCGCGACTGTCCTTCGCGTCGCCAGCGCCGCCCAGGCGTCACTGGGTGCTCGCGCACAGATGGCAGCCACCTGGCCCTGCATGATTCGCAGGGCCCAGACGTTCGTGACTTAAGGTTCTGCTCGGTCCAGTGTCGCAACCAATACTGATGCATGCGAAACGCTGCGTTATGCGATCATGAAAGCGCTGCGCATCGCCATGTCACCATGTGTTATGAAAAAATCAGTCTACGTAGGCTGGGCCTCATCGTCGCTGCGTCGGCTCGCGGCCCCTTGTCCCCTTATGCTGTTGCGGCCTGGCGGCCACGACTTTCCGGCGCCTGCATGCCCTCGCGCAGCGTTGGTTGTGCGCGGCGCACGCAGCGGTCGCGACATCGCGCAGCCCTGCGTCGTCGATGCGCCAGGAGCCTCTGCTGCGCAGAAAGCTGCACTGCGCCATTCTCCCGTTTCAATGGAGATGCGACCGCACTGGCAGCAGGAGGGCGCGGCTTGTTTTGGTGGAGGTGCTGGTGCGGATGCGCCGTGGTGAAATTTTAGCTGTTGCATGTGATGTTGCCAGAATGCCGCGCGCTGTTGGCCCACGTAGGTCACGGTAGTTCTGAGCCTGGCGTTCTCTGCTTAGCGCAGGCATTGCTTATGTGCGTCGAGCGCAAATTCGAGCCATCGTGCGTGGCCACTGTCGTCGAGGATCGCCCTGCCGCGTCGTGGCCATAGCTAGCCGTCGGAGGTCAAGCGCACCACTTGGACCCAAGTAGGAGTGGTGTCCGCAGCGCTGGCAGCGTCTGCTGCACGCTGTTCGCAGGCAAGGTCTGGAGTCGCAGTTGCACGCGCGGCGCGATGGCGAGGATACGCGCTAGATTTTGTTATCGAAATCCGCGCGCTGGACGATGGCATGTAGCCGCTGGCCAGCGACATGCGACATGCGAGCCACTGCGTGTGTGCGTGACGCATCTGTGCTGCGCAACGGCTTGCTTGATTTCCCCCTATGCTCAGCTATGCCACGTTTGTCTTGCCAAGTGGGTCCCAGGCTTCCGCTTGGTTAAACATGGCCGCTGGCCAAAGTGCCTCCCAGCTGAACTTGCATACTGGTCCTCAGCTTGTCGTTGTTTCTGAAATGCAGAGTGTTGAGTGATGTCAATGCTGCCCGTTGCTTGGCAACTTGGTGAGATGCTCGTGCAGCTCCTGAATATAGTGGGTTGAAGCGCGCGCCAAAGCAGTCGCATACGACTTTGATGAGAATGTGGTGGTCCCAGAAAGGGCGGTACATGGTCAGTTTGGTCCCTATATAAAGCCGCTCCTTTGCATAGTGTGAGCCATTTTTCCTGCGGTTCAAATACAATCTGACTTGCGAGGCTTGTCCTTCATTTAAATTCCGTAGCTAGTGAGCATTTGGTGTGCTGGTCGCCAGTTCGACCATGTAGAACTCGAGCAGGTCGCTGTCCCCGCATTGTGGTAGCACCAGCGCGTCGTCGACGAAGGCGATGTTTGTAGCGTTCTCATCCTCAGTTGTACTGGTGTGTTCATATGATAAAACCTGCGGCTGCGTAGGTGTCGGTAGCTATACAGTGCATGGCCGGCCTGTCGCATGGGCTGCCAAGTCTTGGGTGGTCTCGCAAGCAGAAGGGTGTAGATGGCGCCTGCTAGACTCTTGCCTGGTCTTGTGCCTTGTTAAAGCAGCGGGCGGTAAGGTAGGAGCGTTTACAGGAGAAGTGTGACGCTCTATGCGATTCAACGACTTGCGCCTGGAGGTGCTCCTCGCAGCCGCGCGCTTAGCATACCTTGTAGGTTGAGTACGGCTTCCGCAGATTGCATGATAGTTTGTGGGAAATCCTCTTACTGGTAGTGTGTTGTCGCGGGGTCGTCTGGTTTAGGCGGTCCTTGGCTGCCAACTACCGTTTTGCGTATTACTGTGTGGAACACCGGTGTGTGGTCGATGCAGTCCTGTATGGTAGCGCATATCTTCTTGCTGGTGTAGTCAATGGTAAAGAGTAGCTGTGTGCTGCGAATGCCGTGGATCGTCCTGGTAGACCCCCCCCTTGCATAGGTCGCAGTGCTGTCGCTAGTGGCTCGGTAAAGTTCAGTCCTAGGAAAACGTGGCGTAATTTGGACATCCCCGGGGCCAGGAACATCTGCATTGAACAGCTCTGCTGGTGGTTCCCTGACCTTTATGTAGCGATATTGCGGCACCGTGTAACGTAGTCGAGCTTAAGTGGTGTGATCGATGTTCATAAGGTGCTGATGTAGTATGCATTGATGCTGTCGTTGTCGGTGATGATCGTCTGTTCCTGTTGTGCCGAATGCCTGGTGAATTCGTCGTCGTGCTGCTGCTCGTTTTCAGGCACATTCCCTGTCGCGTCTGTGAAGTACGACATTGCTGGAGATTTGGCAGCTCGTCTTCGTGTGGCTGGCCCATGTCGTAGTGCTGCGTTGGCGAGTTGCCATGCTGCCCTATGGCCATGGAGGCCGTGTGGGTATTTAGAGGAGTCGGCGAGTGCTGCTATGTGATTGGCTCTGTCTTGCTCGAGCTGATGTGCTAGTGGCGTACGCGATATTGCGAGAAACGTTCGTACCATCCGTGGACCGCATGTGATGCTGTCGTGGGTGGCAGTGCATAGAGCCGAATGCAATTGGCATCCTCCTCCTCCTCCTCCTCCTCCTGCTCCTCCTCCTCCTCCTCCTCCGTCCAGTGCCTCCTCCCTCCTCCTCGTCCTCCTCCTCGTCCCTTCTCCTCCTCCTCATCCTCCTCCTCATCCTCCTCCTCCTCCTCCTCCTCCTCCTCCTCCCCCTCCTCCTCCTCCTCCTCCTCCTCCCTCCCTCCCTCCCTCCCTCCCTCCCTCCTCCTTCCCCCTTGCTCCTTCCTCTTTCATTATTCCTCCTTCCTCCTTTCTACTTCCTCATCATCCTCCCCCCCCTCCCCCTCATCCTCCCCTCATCCACCTCCACCTCCTCCACCTCCTCCTCATCCTCCTCCTCCACTCCTCCCCACTCCTCACTCATCTTCCTTCACCTCCTTCTCCCGCTCCTCTCCGATCCCCTTGCCCCTCCCTTCTCACTACCCCTCCATGGCCTTCTCACTACCCCACCTTCCACTTCAATCTCCCTTAACCTCCCAAAAGTCCAACCCAGCCCCCCTCCCCCTCCTCAATTCCGATCCCAAGCTCAGCTCCCATCTCCCCCCTCCCCAGCCCCCCGCATCCTCAACCCCGACCCCAATTCCCTTCGCAATCCCAACCCACGACCCAAACCCAATCCAGTTAACAGACCCAGCCAAACCTTCGAATCCGACCCACGATCCCACCCATACCCCAATCGCAGCTCCAGTCTTAGCCCAATCCTCGAACCCCACCCCCGAGCATACTGTCCCTGCACACATCCCCTCATTGCACAACGCGCAGAAAGGGGTAGGGGGAAGGGGGAAGGCTTCTTAAAAGCACCCCTGCTTCTCAGAAGGCGCGGGCCCCGTCTGTAGATGTAATGCCTGCGTCTTCTAAGAAGCGGCCTCCTTTAAAGAAGCGCTCCCCCCTCCCCCATACCCCTTTGTGCGCGCCGCCAACGCACCCATCCCCCGTTCCCCGAGATCAGAAGTGGCCAGAGGTGATCCTGGCCCGCGGTGCCCCAAGCTCTTCGCGCCGCTCCGAGGCTGCGCTTTGGGGCCCCCCAGGCCTCGGGAGAGGTGCTGCGAAGGCCGCCTGGGAAAAGCTGGGGCCACCCTCGGTACGGTAGGATCGTGCGGCGCCGGCGCGCGCGAAGATCTTTGACACCGCGTCGATCGTTCAACCTTGAAGAGATCGCGGCCCCGATCGTTCAAGGCTGAACTCCGTCGGGTCCTGTTGCGAGAAAATCGCAGCCTCGCGAAAACTCACGACCAGCGCCCTAGACCCCACCTTCCTGCGGCATCCTTCGAGACCGATCCATCCGCGAGGCTCCCCGGAGCCCGAGACCGAGCGGAAAGCCGCCCGGCGGGGTCGAAATGGCAAAGCCGGGATCCCATTGGAGGCTCCCCGGTCCCCTGGCCTGGTCAGTCGCTGTCGTAGTCCATGGGCTCGAAGGCCAGCTCGTCGTCCGCGGCCGCCGCGGCCGGGGCCGCGGCGGCCGGCGCGGCGGCGGCGGGCGCCGGCGCGGGCACTGCCTGGCTCTGTGGGCGAGGCGCGGCGGCGCCGCGCCCGTGGCGGCGGCGGCGGCGGCGGCCGCCGCCCCAGGGGCCGCCGAGGCTGCGGAGGCCACCGGGGCGGCGAGGGCGGCGGCAGCCGGGGCGCTGGCACCGCTCGCCGCCGGCGCCCGCGGGGGCGCCGGGGCGGCGGCGGTGGGAGGCTGCACGGCGGGGGCCTGCGCGAGCTTCTGCCTCGCGGCGTCCAGCTCTGCCCTGGTGACGAAGCCGTCGTGGTCGGCGTCGGCCCAGTGGAACTCGCGGGCCGTGCCCAGGCCAAACCTCACGAACTCCGAGAGCGTGATTTTCCCATCGCGGTCGGCGTCCGCCGCGTACCATATGTCCAGCAGCCGCGCCTTGTCCCACTCTTTTTTGGAAATGACTCCATCTCTGTTGAGGTCCAGAGCGTCGAAATCATCGATTCTGCCAAGGCCATACTTCAAGAACTCCTGCCTGGAGATGAGGCCGTCCTTGTTGCGGTCTACATCATCCCACGCTTTGGCCTGCTGGTACCTGTGAAACTCCATCGCGGTAATCGTTCCGTCATGGTTGCAGTCTATCTTGTCGAACTCGTCCGCAGAGCCCATGCCTGAGCTCACGAACTCCAGACGCGTGACCACCGCATCGCCGCTCCGATCCAACTCTCGGAAGCTCTGTGCCACGGCGGCAGCGCCCCTCACCGCCATAGCCGCCGCGGCATTCGGTGCTGGCGACGGTGCCGCAGCTCGAAGCAGGGGCCCAGAGTCAGGGGGCAGCAGCTGGGGGGCTGCAGCCGGCGTGGGGTCTCTACCCAGAGCGCGCAAGACCGCCCTCTCCACGTCGTTGTACTGCTCCACTTTGTCGGCCATCTGCGGCGTCCTGACGCCGTAGACGTCCAGCCCATCGAAGCGGTTGGCCTGATCATCCGCGAGCCTCCTCTGCGCCTCCACCCTGGCCCGCACAAAGTCCAGCGCGCTGCGGCCATCGCTGGAGGCCGTCCACGGATCTGCTCGTTGCGCATAGGGGCGGGAGCGCTCAGGATCCAGCAATAGGCTGACAGTTTCCCTGTGGCCGTTCGACGCAGCGAGCATCAGCGGCGTCAGCCGAGTGCCGTGCGTCGCCGTGTTGGGATCCGCCGCAGCCAGGAGGAGGCCCTTGCAGATGGTGTGGTACCCGTTCTGTGCCGCCAGAAGCAGGGGCGTCCATCCCATGTCGTTGCGTTCGTTCGCGAACTTCGCGATGTCCTCGTCGGTGGGGCCGGGCGACCCGTAAAGGAGGCTGTGACACAACTGGTCCTGGGGAAGCACGAGGATGCCAATACCGCTGCTCTCCGAAACGCTCCCGGGGCGCGCTCAGACAAGGATTCCGAAGCGACACTGGCCATGGCGACGGGGGTGGGGCAGCGGTGTTGGTATATGTTCCTCCCGTAGGGTCCATGCCTCGCCTGCTGGCGAGCAAAAGCAAGGTCGACCCGAAGTCGTCCCGCAGCGCGAAGAGGTCTGTCCAGTGCGTGGCCGCGGCAAGCGACAGGGCCTCCCCCTGACGTTGAGCCTGGCTCGGCTCGTTGGCGTCGCCCCCGAGGGCGTGCAGGGACTGGTCGAGCCCAAGAGTGCGCAGAAATGCCTGCTTGAGCTCCTTCTGCCGGGCCAGTAACTGCTGAGCCGCCTCCTGAGAAGAACCATAAACTTGTACACATATGTGTATACAGGTGTACAATCACATACCTTTACACGCAAATGTGCATATATCTGCACCTACATATATACATGCATGCATGCATGCATGCATGCATACATGTATGCATGCATGCATGCATGTAAGCATGTATACATACATACATACATGCATACATACATGCATGCATGCATGCATACATACATACATACATACATACATATATACATACATACATGCATACATACATGCATGCATACATGCATACATACGTACATACATTACATTACAATACATTACATTACAGTACATCACATTACATTATATTACAGTACAGTACAGTACAGTACAGCACATTACATTACGTTACATTACATTACATTACATTATATTACACTACATTACATTACATACATGCATGCATGCATGCATGCATACATACATGCATACATACAGACATCGATACAGACATACATACATATATACATACATACATACATACAAACAGACAGACAGACAGACAGACAGACAGACACACGGACATACATACATACATACATACATACATACATACATACATACACACACATACATACATACATACATACATACATACAGACAGACATACATACATGCACATATATATAGTCATGCATGCATGTATGCATACATGCATACATACATACATACAAACAAAAGAATGCATTGGCGCTTCGCGCCATGCGCCTTGTTCCAGACGCTTCCCGGGCAAAACAATAAATCATCGCTGGCTTCAGCACCACTCCTCATTGGAGGAGGTAAGGAGAAAAGTTTCGTCTGTCTTGTCATCTGCCACCACCAAAGTCTATCCCTACCCATCCCTTCCTCCTTCTTTCCTCCTCTTCCGCCTCCTCCGGTGGTTGAGTCCATCATTTGAGGAAGTAAGGAGCGTTCCCATGACACGCGGAAGAAGTCGCAGCAGCTCCGAGCAATCGATGTTTTGTCGTTCCCTGAATGCCTGGAAAGCTCCAGGCACTCAGGAAAACTTCAATAGTCGAACTTCGAATCTAGATAAATTGCCTGTCTCTCTCGATCGAAGAATTTACACCTCGAGCCTCAAGCGCGGAACCAGCATCGTCGGGTCATCTTGATGTACTTCGGAGGAGGACGCCGTCTGCACCTTTTTGGGGCTCTTTTGGGCCGTCCTGGGGCCCTCTTGGGCCGTCCTGGGGCCTTCTTGGGCCGTCTTGAAAATCTGGGGCCCTCCAGAGGCCTTCTGAAGCCATCTAGGGCCCTCTTGCGGGCCTCCAATGGCCTTCGTGGGGGTCTCCCATGGCTTTCGTGAGTCTCTCTTGGGAGCCTTCTGGGGGCATCTTGGGTTTCTTGTGGTCAGTCTCGGGGCTCTCTGGGGCAGTCTTGGAGCCCTCTTGGGTCGTCTTCAAGCCCTCTGGGGGGCCTTTTGAGCCGTCTTGGGGCGATGTCGGGGGCTCTTCGGGCCGTCTTGAACGCTGCGAAGACCAAAAAAAAAACTGATATGCTAAAAATGCGGGAGTGGGGCGATTTGTGCATCTTCGGGGCTGTCTCAACGGCCTCTTGGGGCGTTTTGCGGGCCTCTTGGGCCGTCTTCAGACCATCGAGGTTCTTCTTGGAGCGCTCTCGTGCTGTCTTGAAAGTCTCTTGCGCCTCTCCGATGACCCCTCTGATCGCCTTGAGTCTGCCTCCGGCAAGGCGCCCTAGGAGGCCCAGAAGGGCCAGCGGACCTTCTCCAAGTGCGTCCAGGGGGTCGCCGAAACATCCGAAAGGGCGCCCAGGGCGTCCCTGGGGGGGGGTCCGGTTTAGGGGGGGCTGGCTGATATAAATATCAGAATAAGAATGAAAATATATAATTGTATAATATAGAGAGACACATGTTTGTGTATGCATATATGTGTAGATGTGAGTATGGCAAACATGTACATACATACACATATTTATATACACATGTGTGCACACGTAAATCTACATGTGCGTATACGTAGACATATACACATACATATGCATGTACATGTGCATGTTCATATACACATACGTACACACAAACATATACATATACGTATGCATATACATATACGTATATGTGTACGCACACATAGACCTTTACACATACATATACACATACACACAAACATATCTATATATATGTATAGATCATATGCTTATACATCCACATGTACATCTACATATACATATACATATACAAACACAAGTGTGATTGAATGTGTGTGCGTGTCTGTCAGCCAGTGCGGGCCCAAAACAGTGCTTCTAGCAAACGATGGTGTGCAAAATATGTGGTGTAAACTGGGTAGCGCAGCATAGGACGTGCAACGATCGTGGTACAAGCTGTACACACGTATGTATATATATGTATATATACATATGTGGTGCAAAATATGTTCCTCACTCCATGTGGTGCATGTCATGTGGTGCAACTTACGTGGTACAGTCGATGCTGTTCAGTCTTTGTTGTGCAAGCTACGCGTGCAGTCGAACTTGCGCAATCCATGCAATGCAACCTACTTAGTGCAAACTATGTGGCGCCATATATGTTGTGCACTCTATGTGGTGCAAAATAAGTTGTGCAACTCTCCAATGCTAGCAATGAGTTGTCAATCCCACTGTTCTTGCAATCATCCCACCCACACTCCGGCCACCTGGTTTGCAAACCCATGCGACGGCGATTGTGATGAGTCCTTGGCGTTGGCAGGTGCAGGTGCATCTCTGCGGCCGTGCTAACCCGCGCATGCTCGCGCGCGCAACGGCCAGCTAGTGCGGCGCGACCGACGTGGCCGCGGTGGCGCTGACCGCTGGGTATTCCCCCACAGGGGGTTCAATGCGAGTCGGTGACTTGGGCGGGAGCGGTATCATGGCGACGCCGACAACGGTAGACACGATGATGAGAGTAGCGATGATGGTGACGATGGTGGCGAGGACGACGGCAACGCCAATGACGGCGCCGATGTTGATCACGCCCGCCGATAACGATGACGACGTCCTCGCGTCGGTGATGAAACTTTTGGAAGGAATTCGACATTCGCGCGCGGCCGACGCGCGAGAGTGACTGGCGTGGTAATATTTCACACGGATCTTGCCCACCAGCACGCGCGCAAGGGCGTTCGGATGAGTTCGACATGCGGCGCTAGAGGCCCGTTTGGCAGAACTTGGTGACAATGTTGAAAAGCTCATGGCTTTCTCAAGAAATCGCAAGAGCGCGCTTGGAAAACAGATGTTGGAAAACCATATGTTGTTATATGTTTGCGAGGCTCTCGTTTTTCAAACCTTTACGACACCGAAGGTTGTTGAAAAATTTCGGCATGCGCGCGCGACGACGCGTGCGCGAATTTGTCCAATTCTGTTACAAGAAATTAATGCGACAGCGCGCGCGCAAGGGCGTTCGAACGATTTCGACATGCGCGCCCGAGAGGCCCGCTTGGTAGCGTGTTATGAACATGTTGAAAAACCTCTGGCTTTCTGAAGAATCTGCAAAAGCGCGAGCGCAAGCTTTTTGTTGAGAAGCCTTGTTGCGAAACCATGTGCTTATAGACGTTTTCGTGGCAATCGATTTTGAAATCCCTGCGAAACCTAAGGTTGTGAAAGGAATTCGGCATGCGCGCGCGACGACGCGCGCGCGTGCACTTCCCAAGGCGCCCCTGGTTTTGCGCTCGATTTTGGAGCCCCTGGGGCCCTCTGGGCCTCGTAGGGAGGCCGTCCCTTCCCTTCCCCACCCTCCGGCCGCCCCTGCTCCGCTCGAGGGTTGCCAGCAGTGCTCCTGGCCCGAGGTGCCCCCAGCTTTTCGCCCCACTCTTGAGCCCTGGGGGCCCTCTGGGCCTCGTGAGGGGTGCTCTGGAGGCCGTGGGGCCTCCCTGGGACATCCTACAGTGGGCCAGGGGCACTTTGGCAACCCCCGACGCTGCTCTTGCACGCGGGGCGCGCCCGGGGACAGCGCCAGATACGCGGCCGAGGCCGCCAGAGGGTGGAGCCAGATCCCCGACGTCGTGATTCTTCCATAACATCGACCCCCAAAAGGCATCGCCCCCCACACCTGACTCGCATGGCGCTCAGGGCCGTACCTTTCTCGGTGCGCGTGTCAACGCTTTCGCCACTGCTGGGGCTCGACAAGACTAGGATGAAAATGGCAGCGGCCAGCGAACACGGCAAGTGCACATGACACAATGCCGCGCAGCAGTGCTATGGCAAACAGACACATGCATGATTGCGGTCTGCAACAACTCCCAGACCAGTTTTTCATCCTACGTCGTTTTCTGACGGTCCCGAGGCCCAATGAGGGCCTCCAAAGGCCGAAAGTAGTTGAAGACCTTCTACCGTGACTTTTGTATGACTCGAGCAGGTGGTGGCGTGCGAACCCTATCCCCACCGACCCTCGATTCTCCTGAATCGATTGGAGGCGGGGGTGGGGTTCGGATTCTGCCACGTGTTCGACGAACTCCGAGCCCTGCCCCCGCCGCCCATCGAGTTGGCCGAACCATTCCTCGGCGAGGGAGGGGTTAGGTCGGGCATGTCCTCCTACAGGCGGATTTTGCACGAAGACTTAAACATGGCCAAAAGATACCCAAAAATGACCAACAAAAACTCAAAAAATCGTCCCAAAACTATGTCTTTACTATTTTTGACTGTTCCTCCTGCAGAGGGACAGGGTTCGGAGTTCGCCGCCGATCGAGGGTGTCTGGGAGGGCGGGGTCCAGCGGTGGCCTCTTTGAGAGCTCGAGATTAAAGGATCTGCTACAGAATTGATCTACCCCAGCATCGACTTTTCTCCTCGAATCCACAGAGAAAGTGTGGAAATTTCGTAGATATACGAACATTATACGTATTGTTGTCGAGGATTCGACGTGGAAATCAACTTTGTAAGGAGCCGAACTCTATACACTAGCGCTTTTTCTGGCCCCGCACTGAAACTCGCACAGGAAAGCGGATCCTGGTGTATACGGGATCCTGGTGTATACATTGCTTGTTGCTTCCCCGGGAAAACGGGCGAAACAAGTACACACCCCACCACCCCCGACGTCGCCCCCGATCTTCAAGAAGTCCTGGGATTGAGGAACAGCCCGCTACTGGCATTGTGGAGAAGGAGGAGGAGGAGGAGGAGGAGGAGGAGGAGGGGGAGGAGGAGGAGGGGGAGGAGGAGGAGGGGGAGGAAGAGGAGGAGGAGGAGGACATCGATGTTGTAGTCTGCTCTTGCCGACGCTCCTCGCCCCCCTCGGCTCCTGCAGCTGCTGCGCCGGGGCCCGTGCCGCCGGCTGGGCTCCGGCCGCGAGGGGCAACGGCAGGGAGGGGGGGCAGACTCAGCGGGGGGCAGGCAGCACCGAGCTTACCAGGGCATGTCAACCCCTATCCCAGACATCGTGGGGTTTTCGAATGAAGCAGAAGTTTGAGCCCCAACCCTGGGATATACGATTGGGGGGCGTTCATCCTCGATAGGGTTGCGTCCGAATGTAGCCCCCTTGGGATGTATCCCAGGGTTTCCCTCTTTTTCTGAGCGGCCAAACTTTTCCGGCGACACTCGGGGATTGGGGGAGAAAAGATACCTGCGAGAGCTGGACCCTTCTGTGGCAACTCGTGGCAGCCGCCCATGCCATCTTCCCAGAGCCCCTCGGGTCGTGGAAAACTCACGACAGAAGGTCTTCCACTATCTGGGGCTTCTGGGGGCCCTCGCCAGGCCCCTGGAGCGTCAAAAAACGACTCGGCACGAAAAACGGGTCCTGGGGAAGGGGTCCAGACTCTTGAGGGTCACGCCATGAAAAAATCATGACGTCAGCGATCTGGGGTGGCAACTCGTGGCAGCCTCCCATGCCACCTTGCTGGCTCTCGCGAGTCGACGCTAAAAACGATCCGAATCGACGCTACATCGACGCGCAACGACGCTACATCTGCACTTCCTCGTCGACTCGCAGTCCATAGCGCACGAGAATGCACTCTCAAGACGGGATTGCAAGGACATACCAGGCTCCCATGACTTGCGACCGAAGGACTCGACGACAGGGCTCGACCTAAACTTTCTTTACGGTGCTTTCCGTGTTCGTTCTGTGCTCGTTCCCCCTCGCTCTGTCTTCATTCCGCCCTCGCTGCGAAACGACATCGTATTGAAAACGGCACGCGATATCCCGAAAAACACAAATCGGGTCAAGCCCTGCTCGGCGATGCACCGCCGACAGATCGGCGACAGGACCCCGACGGCGGATCCGCACGTGCCTGGGCCAGGTGGGCTATCGGGCCCCTCTGTCGGCGATGAGTGGACCATCGGTCACTGCCCCGACCTTGCAGCCGTGCTGCGGCGGGTTTTTGCGCGGATTTCTGTCAACGCAACAACCCGAAACGGCGAGTGAAAAACGAAGTGAACTTCGCGTGGATATTTGTTTTAGCCTTCACTCCTGGCCAGCAGAGATCCGCACGAAATTCACCTTGAAGTCCGGAACGGAAGTCTCCAGGGCACTCCGGGCCCATCCGATCGGCGTCCGAACAAAATCCGCTCTGCGACGTTGGTGGACCAGAGAACAATCGGCACCACCCCACCTACGGCCCAAAGGGCCCCAGCGTATACCAAGAGATCTGGCGTGGGCTTTGGCGTGGTACACGCCACGGCCCCCGAGGGTCCGTAGCGCATCATCGAGGGCCGTAGGTGGGGTGGCGCCGTTTGCTTCTTGGCCGAGCTGGCCCCCGAGCCCTCCCCCGTGCAGAGTGGCCCTGCGGCCACACGCGCCTCGGGCAGCCAACGGCCGCTCTCGACGGCCAGGGGGCACACACCCCGGAACGCTCGCTACCGGCGAGGCGCGGCCTCTCTGGAATAGGCAGATCCCGAGGCTGGAGAAAGCCGCGGGGAACGGACGAGAACGCGCGGAAACTTCCAGCCTCCAACCCGCCAGCAAGAGCTCCGGGTCACCGGGCAGGCTTCGAATCTGAGAAATCCTCCCAGCTCCCAGAGAGCCTCTCGGGGAGCACTTCTCTGGTAGCTCCCAGAGAGCTGTCCGGGAAATCATGGGCTCCACTTGTTCGGCGGCAAGCGAGGGGGGGAAGTGAGGAGAAGGCCTTCCCAGAAGGCTCGGAAGTCTCCAGGCCTCCCGAGAAGTTTTCTGAGCCTCCCCCGAAGACAGAAACAAAAAACAAAAAAAAACAAAAAACAACAAAAAAAACGCGAGGGCGTCTGAGAAGTCCCGCCGCCTCCTGAGAAGGCCTCCTCC